CCCCAAAACCCCAAAACCCCAAAACCCCCGAGAGGAAGTATCGATTTCAAGTAAGGTTATTAGTTAAAGAAATATTCTATGATCGAATGTTATATTGTCGTTCAATTCAATTATGATGTGCATTGAGATCTCAGACAATATCCTCTCCGTGGATGAATGAGGTGAAAAGCTTGTTAGCTTCCTTCCTCTTCCATTATGGAGCCAAGTGGCCTGCACCATGAATTGTTGCGAATTTAACGTTATCGTAGTCAATGATGTAGCCTGAGGTTTGCTAATCAGTGACCCATGGTCTCCATGGCTTTGTTATCTCCCAATTTTAGTTTTGAATCCATCTTCTGGTTCCAAGAGTTGGAACAGCACCGTCAGTATCACCTGAAAATACAAGAATTTGATAATTATAAGCCTTCAAAATTGGATAGATCCATACTGATCCTTCGTATTGATAGTGATAAGTAAAACTATTGCCATTAGCACATTGATTCCATCCTTTCAAATTTGAGGGAATATGAAAAGCGTCTCTTAACCCTTGACTGTTAACATAGTCACTGAGACTCTAACCCAAAACATGTGGGGTATCAGTGAGCAAATGCTTAGCCCATGGAGTGTACTCTTGCATAGTAAATCCTCTAGTATAAGTCTTCTCAACACCATCAATCATAACTGAGCCTTCTCTGTTTACAGCCTGAAGAATTGGACCCTTAGGAACTTCTGTTCTAAATAAGTCATACCAATTTAAGTTTCCTCTGGCATCCTAGATTGTTTTCCACATAGCAGCACACTCTGGTTTATTTGGGTATTTCTTGACATCATTGAAGTAATAATGACAGTCACTTTGTTTAAAGTTTGCCAACAGATCTTTGTCAATCATGTTGAAATTATAAAGAACCTCTGGATAGGCTGGGTAGATGTCTAAATCCCAATCTGTAGCACCATTGCCGACAATGAATCCCTTGAGGTTATACTTGGTAATAGTTTCATCATTTGACCAGTCAGCTTAGAGATTGTATTGATGAATTTACCATGACAAGTAGGGGACATAGATGCCAGCATAGCTTTCTCCTGAAATAAAAAGTGGATTCTTGAGGTATTCCTTGAAGTCAGTGAAGAAAATCTTGATAGCTTCAAAGGAATCCATTGAGGATGATAGATCATTGTGTTGAGTGTCTTCATCTGTCTTTGCATAAGAGTATCCTACTCCAGCTGGACTTTCTATATAGAGAACGTTGGCTCTTTTGTTCCATGGCTCTGGATTTTGCTTGATGACAAATTCTCCATCATCGAAGACATATGGGCCATGTTCAGCAAACAATGCGAGTAATGAAGAGCATCCTGGGCCACCATTGAACCAGACAACAACTGGATCAGTTGCGGCTTAATCGCTTGCTGATGTTACAAAAACGTAATGAAGTGATTTAGTTTCTGATACATCGAGGTAACCACTGTACCATTTAGTTGGAAGAGAATCTCCACAATTAGGGATTGATTTAACGAGGTCATTGGGTCGATCGGCTTGTACAACAGCAGTCAGTCCAAGGATAGCTGCTAGAACGAGTGAACTTATCTTTCTCATATCTGCTATAAATATTTATTATAATATAATTAATTATAATGCTTTAAATAATATATCCTTTCTTTCATTAAGTTTAATATATCTAATTATTCAATAATTATTTAAATTTAAATGTCCTAAAATTAAAACAACTCTAAAACCACCTCTACATTTGCATATCCATTATAGCTCCAAAAGCTTGATCTAGACTACAAGGAGCAGCATGCTTTAGCTATAACACTGGCTAATAAACCTGCAAAAACCCTATTATGGGATATTCTGATCAGGGGCCCTAAAGATAGGTCAGATATGCAAGGTCATACTGATGCTCTGAAGCTTAAGCTCGTGAACTGGGTGGATGATATGACTAAGATAAACTCATAAAACCAGATTAGTTTTATAAGAAATGGTTTAGTAACACTCGAAGGAGAAGTTTAAAGTATCATAGGTAATCAAATATCTATTTCTAATAAAATCTTACTTATCTTAATAGATTGGAGAAAGCACTATATTGAGTCTTCTTCATTTAATACCAGATACAGACTAGTCCAAGTCATGAGTCTCCTTCCATTTTTTAGTATTTTTCTAAAAATTAATCTAATTAGTCGGCAGGAGATATAAATTCAGAAGAGCTTTCTAAACATTTATACTTGCAAATTTATTTTTGTGTCCTGGAAATATAAGAGGATTTCTTCAGTATGATTATCTCTTGAATCCTTAATAGCATTTCTAGCCTGATTAATAAGTAAGTCATACTAAAATAATTTTGTATCTATCTCATATTGATCTTAACAATGAATCTAAGTTAACAATATAGGAGCCTTAAAACAAAATAGAGTCATTAAAAAAAGAACTGGAGTCAGTATCACAAGAAATAAACGTTAACTTGTTGTAGTTGAAATCTGGAATCAATGTTGGATCTGATCCATCACATAAGGAAAAAAAATGAGAATATAAGAGAAATATTTTGTTTTGAGATATCCTCAGATATATAACAGGATCCTTGAAATAAAATCTTCTGATAAAAAGCTAATCTAATTATATAATATTTAAGCCACTCATTTCATAATTTTTATCAATTAAGATGTGAGAATTCTGCATAACGGGGTTTTGGGGTTTTGGGGTTTTGGGG